CGCCACCAGGGGCTGCCTCTGCTGTTCCCTCTGAATGACAGCACCTCCTGCAGGATCCTTTGTCACTCAGGAAACTCCTAGGTTGTTAAATTGGTGTCCTTTCAGAGTGTCCTAAAGGCCTTGGCCTTTTTGTATCAATGAAGATAAAGATAAAATAACTTTTGAGCTGGTGGCCACGCATATTTGACTTATTTATTTTTAATTGACTTTTCCTTGAAGATCCCACCCACCCCATGTGTCTGCCAAAGGCAGGGATTTGGGTTTCTTTTCCTTCTCTATTCCAGGAGAGGCCTGGCCAGCCTGGCTGACAGGGTGAACTGCAATGTGCACACAGTAGGGTTTCTTACAGGCCAGGGGACACTAAATCCTGTTCCCCTCCTGCTTTCCCACTGGATACACGTGGCCATGCCTCTCCCATCTTCTAACATGAGCAAAGGGCATGAGCAGGCAGTTGGCTCAAGAAAAACCAAGGACTGTTAGGCCTGGTCCTGGTGCTTTCAACATGGATCATGTCCTTCTGTCACAGATAGAAAGGAAGCAGAGAGGGTAAGTAAATTGCCTGAGGCTCCACAGCTTCTGACACCAAAACCTGTACTGTGAACAAATACATCATGGTCATCCATGCAATGTCATTTCTTGTGCCCTTTGGGGGCTTTTTCTACACCTGGCAGTCTAAACCCCAAATTTCTCCCTCCTCCCCAGTTCCCACCCTGTGAATCAAACAAGTAGCCAGGTCTACCTGCTGCCTCCACACCCAGCCCGGTGCCTTGAGCCCCGCCTCCGCCAGCTCTCGTGGGGCAGCTGATGGCCCAGCACCCTGGCTGCTCCATAGTCTCAGTCTTGCCCTAAGTAGCCACATGCCCACCTCCAGGATCCTGTGCACATTGACTCTTGAAGGAGGGGACCTTGCACAGAGTGAATGGCAGCTTGTCCCTCTGAGCCACTCAGCCCAAGTGGCTACCCCAGACCTGCAGCAGAGCCCTCACTGAGCCTTCCTGGCCATTCCCAAGACCAGGTGGTGCGTCCTCAACCCCTGGCCAGTCACTCCTCTGTTCCACAGCAGGGGGCAAAAGCCTGGTCCCCAAACCTCTCCCCTCTTGACCACACTACCCAGGGGTATTTGAACAACAAATGGACTCAGGTATTTGTGCAAGGTCCTCCAGAACACAAGAGATTAAGTTGGGGCTCATATGGTGGGCTTCTGAACGCAACCTCAGAGCAGGGCTGGAGGAGGAAGAATGCAGGTCAAATGTCCCCTTGTTCAGACCCGGCTTGGCCCTTGGCCCCACGCTCCACTGTGGACTGCAGCTGCTGCCATCCCAGGGACCCTGCCAGCCCTGTTCTCTCACATCTTCCCACCAGGGCACACCCCCAGGGAAGGGATTATCACTCCAAGGTCTCAGATAACAGCCTGATGCTCAGGGATATAAGGGGCAGCCCTAGGCAGGTGCGCTCGCCTCTTTAACTTCAGCACCACAGCCTGCCCTGGCCCCCACCTACTGCCTTTGGTTGGTGCCCGTGCTGACAGGAAGGCTGGGTCCCCTTCACCCCCAATCCTGCGCCCCGGTTGAGCCGTGCAGTGTTGGGAGCCAGGGTGAGTCCCACCCCTCTGAGCCTCACTGGCCCCAGCTCTACAGGGGGGACATCGGGAGGGTTTGCCTGCTGCTGCTTCAGGCGACTTTTTTTTTTTTTTTTTTTTTGGTGCTGGGGTGGAACCCAGGCCCTGATGCAGGCTAGGCCAGCACCCCACCACTGAGCTACACCCCAGACTTTTATCACACATCTTCATACCAACCCTGTGAGCCTGGCACCAGACCTTCTTTTGCTGGTGGGGAAGCTGACTTCCACCAAGCAGGCAATGCTGGGCCCAGGCTGAAACGCAGAGCCCAGCTCCCTGGTCCTCCCTGCTCCCTCACTGCCCCTGTTGGGCTTCCCCTGAAGGCAGCGTGGGCGTCTGAGTCTTCTGCCTCCCCTGCTCAGCACGTCACACCGAGTTGCGCCTGGGAGATACCAGGACTGAGGTGGGAGAGTCAGGGCTGGCTTTCCAGAGGAGGAAAGGGGTGAGCCAGGCTGGGTCCCAGAAGCTGGCACAGGTAAGGGTGAAAGAAGTTGGGACTTAGTGGCCTCAGTCTCAAACTTGGCTTCTCCCCTCACCCTACCCTAACCCCCAGGATGCAGGTTCCTGCCATCCACCCCGTGCTGGGTGACCTGTTCAGGATTGTCAATAGAGAGGATGCTGTCCCTGGCTTCTGGCCCTGGCAGGAGTCCCTGCAGGTGAGAGGGGCATTCTGTGTATGTCGGGGGCACTCTGGGGTGCTGGCCAGGCTGGGGGTGCAGGCTGCAGCCCAGGTAGGAGTAGTGACCCTCATCTTCTTCCTCACCAGGACAAAACCGGCTTCCACTTCTGCGAGACCTGGGTAGTCACTGCTGCCCACTGCGGAGTCAAGTGAGCACTGGCAGCTTGGGATTCTGCTACCAGCTCCAGTCAGGGTGAGGCAGGGCGCAGGGCCCACTCCCCGTCCTCAACCCTCCATGTCTCATTGCCTAGGACATCCGACCTGGTGGTGGCTGGAGAGTTTGACCAGGGCTCCGATGAGGAGAACGTCCAGGTCATCAAGATCGCAAAGGTACACAGGCCTGCTGAACAGGGCAGGGGCCCAGCTCAGGGGCAGAGGAGCTGGCACAGGAAGGGAACGCGGTGGGGCTGAGATGGCCCCAGAATCCTTTTTCCTGGCTCCTGTGGGTCTGCAGTCCTGAAGGGCCACCAGAAAGAGCCTGTCTCCTGGAAACCCGCAGACCCTGAGCGCTCGCGGGCCTCACCTGTCTGGTCCTCGCCCACAGGTTTTCAAGAACCCCAAGTTCAGCATGCTGACTGTCCGCAATGACATCACCCTGCTGAAGCTGGCCACGCCTGCCCGCTTCTCCCAGACTGTGTCTGCTGTGTGCCTGCCTGACGCTGATGACGATTTCTCTGCTGGGACACAGAGTGTCACCACTGGCTGGGGCAAGACCAGTCACATTAATAGCAAGCCAGTCTGGTTGGGAAATGAGTGCTGTGGGCTGTGGTGCTGACCACCCATCCTGCCCACCAGACTGCAGCTCTGTGCTTGGGGGCCACCAGGGCAACCAGGCTGCACAGTGGTGGCCCTGCCCCTCCTCTGAAATGCCAACTGCACAGTCCTCAGTAGCAAGATCACCGCTGCCATGCAAGATCATCCCCTGCACAGTCCAGGCTCCTGGCTCTCCCCACACCCTCTCCTCCCCCATCCTGGGTGGGTTCACAAAAAAGCCAGGCCTTGGGTAGGGAGAGAGGAAACAGGAATACTAAATAGGTGTTTCTCCAGGACCCTTCCCTCTCTCCAGGGACATGCCAGCCATGAATAGGCAGGGAGACAGGACCCCTGGCTGATCACTGATGGCATCAGCAGAGGTACCAGGAACGGGCTCTACTCTTAGAGTTGCCATTGGCATCCAAAGAACAACACTTCCTGGAGTTGTGCAGTATTCAGCCTGGACAGTGGGACATGGTGGCCCAGAAAGGCTCAGGCAGCCCTTGCCTGCTTACAGTGGCCCTATAGCCACCCCCACCCACACTTCCTTTGTTAGTCAAACCAGCTTCGTGGAGCTTCTATTTTGGGACCTCACCCTGAGGGTGGCCCAGACTTCCAGGGGCACAAACCACCCAAGGATCTGCTGGCTCTTCCATTATCCATCTACCCAGTGAGCATGTACTAGAACATCTACTGGTGGCAGGCCCTGGACTGGCCTCTAGGAATAATGTCCAGGAGTCCCTGGGCCAGGCTGCCTGCACTGCCTTATCAAAGCCCCTTCTCCCTCTCCTGTAGTCTGACTCTGGGGGCCCCTGGTCTGCCAGAAGGATGGAGCCTGGACTCTGGTGGACATCATGTCTTGGGGCAGCAGTACCCGCCCCACCTCCAGTATGCCCAGGTCACAGAGCTCATGTCCTGGGTGTAACAGATTCTGACGGTCATCTGAATCCATGAACCAGCTCTGGCCTCCTCTTACCCTGCTCCCCACAAAGCCTGAAGTGCGTGTTAGTGCTGTCTGTCTCCCTGGGGGGACTCCAAGTCCTCACTTTGCTCCTGAACTTGGGCCTTCCCTGGTTTGGACTGGGCTGAGTCAGACCAGGGTTTCAAGAGAGTTCCTTCTTAGTCTTCTTCATTTGGGCTTCAGCTTCCCATGCGGTGGACAGGAAGGACACAGGCAAATGAAATGGGAATGAAAAGAGGGATGATGGAAGACAGGTTTGCACCTGTAATCCCAGCAATTTGGGAGGCTGAGGCAGGAGGATTGTGAGTTTGAACCCAAAAGAAAAAAGAAAAAGGCATAGCCCGGGAGGATTGTGAGTTCAAAGCCAGCCTCAGCAAAAGCGAGGCACTAAGCAACTCAGTGGGATCCTGTCTCTAAATAAAATACAAAAAGGGGCTGGGGATGTGGCTCAGCGGTCAACTGCCCCTGAGTTCAATCCCTGGAAAGAAAGAAAAGAAAGAAAGAAAAAGGAAAAAGGGAAGAAGGAAGATGGGACCTGGATGGGTGGAGCTGCTGGTCAACCTGCAAGGCCTTCTCCACTCTTGTCTCATGTCATCAGGACATTGGGGCCCTTACCTGTCAGAATGCTCAGAGACCCTCCCTGGGGAGCCAGCGGCTGGGGAACTGGCCTGTTCGGCCCCACCTACCTGTGGTTCTGGGGATTCTTCTCCACGATGGCCCCTCCAGGTGCCTCTTTCCCAGGCCTATGCTAAAGTCAGGTGGCCTTATCAGCCCAAGGACTCGTGATAAGGAGGGATGGCAAGGCAAGCTGTGATTGGTGGGCTCAGTAAATATAATGCCCCTCCCCCGCCATACACCATCACAGGCCTCTGGCTGGTCCTCAGCCTCCCTTGAGGGCAGCAACTGGTGAGTGGGAGGCCCAGGCAGCCTGGAAGCCCCTCTCCCCCTCACACCTGCCTGCTGGGGCCCAAATGCCCAGAAGCAGGAAATGGGCTGTGGGGATGCAAGTTCTTCTACCACTGAGCACCCCCCTCTGTGGGGCACCAGGTTCCCCCTGGTGGCGGGTTGTGCCATCTTCTCATACCCTGCCAGGCACCTGCCCACTCTCTGGGCACTCCTTCTCAGCCCCCCTGGGTACTTTTGCTTGGCTCTCCTGGGTCTCAGCTATGCTTGGAAGAACCTCAAACTCAAGTAGACATATCTGGGTCCCCTCTCTTGTCTTGGTTTCATCCATCTATTCAGTCACCCACCCCAGAATCCAGGGGTCACCTGGTTTGTTCACCTTCTAAATTTGCCTTCCAGCCCCTGGATTCTGCCACCCCAGCCTTCCCACAGCCATCCCTCCAGCCCCCTGTGAGCTCCTCGGGCTCAGCCCTGTGGCCCTGTGGGCAGCCTCTTGGGTCTGTATCTCCAGGCACCCAACCCATTCTGCTGCAGACTCTCAGGGGAGGGTAACCGAGGCCTGTGTCCCAGAACTCTGAGCTCAGAGGGGAACAGAGCAGGTCAGAGCAGCTGCCCACTGTGGGGGTCTCTGAACCCAGCTTCCTAACTCTGATCCCCAACTTAATGCCCCCTCTGCAAGGGCACCTGAAGGTGGCTGCCAGGCTAGGGGCGGAGTGCCCTGCAGTGCCAAAGCTCTAGATACAGGTGTGCCAAGGAGGCCTGGAAGTGTCAGGTCTTTACCCTGGCCTGCTGGGCACACCATTCCTTGCCCTGTCCCCACCCTCGAGGCTTCAGAGTCTCCCCTCCTCCCCACGCTGAGGGGCCCGTCCAGGATCATCAATGGGAAGAATGCTGTCCCCAGCCCCTGGCCTTGGCAGGTGTCCCTTAGGTGAGAGGGCATTCTGGGCATGTGGGGGGTCACTCTGGGGTGCTGGCCACACTAGGGGTGGAGCCCAGGTGGGAGTAGTGACCTTTACCTTCTTCCTCCCCAGGACAGCACTGGCTTCCACCTCTGCAGGGTTCCCTCATCAGCGAGAACTGGGTGGTCACTGTTGCCCACTGTGTGGTCAGGTAAGTCTTAAGCTCAGAAAACTGGGGTCCCCAGTGCCAGAGGACCCTCATCCCTCTCAACCTCAACCGAGCACTGCACTCAGAAGCAAAAGGGTCTGAGCAAAACCTCCTATAACTCAGCTGCAACCTGCAGAGACAGCCACCCCAGTGCTGCCACTCCACCTCCTAAGACCTGCCCCCAGGCCACCTGGATTGCAGCATGGGGAACCCTGGACAGTCAGTCCTGTGCCTTCTTTGTGCAAACAGGGAAAACAAGACCCAAAACAAGAGTGGGATGCACTGAGGCCCTATGCGATTCAGTGGCTCAGCTAGAGTGCCACCTACTGGGGACACTTCCTTGCCCTCTAAGGTGTCAGCCATGAGCCCTTGACTGGGCTGCCACCTCTCCTCACCCCAGGAAGGGACACTGCATGGTAGCCAGGGCATCTGGCTTGCCTCTGGATAGGAGCCCCTTCAGGTGCTGAGGTGGCTGAGGTAGTCAGGAGATGGACTGGTGTGACACAGGCTCTGGGAGAGACCTCCTGAGGAACGGGCAAAGCCCCTGGCCAGTGCCCTTGGCCCTTCAGGGCCCACCAGCAACTCTCCCCAGATGTCTTCTCTTTCCTACATATTCCTTCTGCTTCTGAAACATTTGCGAGGCTGGGATGTGGCTCAGGGCTGGAGCATTGCCTGGCATGAGCGAGGCCTGGGCTCGTCCCTAGCACTGTAACCAATGAATACGTTTTTCTCATTGGTTTCTTGTGGTGCTGGGGCTTGAACCCAGGACCTTGGGGATGCTAGGCAAGTGCTCTACTGTTGATATACACCCCTAGCCCTTGTGCATTGTTGAAAAACATGAAAATAAAAAATTGAACAACCCTGAATGTCACGTGTCATTTCTCCCTGGGTCTCCACAGCTTCCTCTGCCTCATTGTTGTTCAAATTCCACCTGCTCTGAGCCCACTTTGTCTCCCAGCCCAGTATCCTCAGAATTCTCCCTTGTCCTCCACTCAGAGGTCCACCCAGGCCCCACCCTGGTCCCAAGAGTGTTTGAGCACACCCTAGGGGACCTGTGTGCTGTCCTCGTCAACAATACCCTGCCAAGGTTTCCTGCCCTCCTCTCAAGCCTGGGTTCCTGCCTGCCAGCCCAGCTCCAAGGCCAGCTTCCTTGCAGGCTGTCAGGGGTCACAGTGGCTGCAGGAACACCTAGCACAAGCCTGTATTCCTACGGGGGCTTTTTAGGGAGATGCAATTTAGATTCTGGTCAAAATTCCAAGCACACTTCTGAATTGTAGCAGTCATAAATCATTCCATTTCTTTCAAATCCTCTAAATTAAAAATCCACCAAACACAAAATGAAAATGAGAGTTGATGACAGAGCCTGAAGCAAACTCCAAACACAAGCAGGCCTCCAGGGCTTTCCAGGGCTCTCCAGGGCCAGGCAGGGAGAGTACAGTTCCCCTGCATCATGACTGGGAGTCCAATGGACAGTTCTGGTCCAGTAGTCTGGGAGGGTGGCCCTGGCTCACCTTCCTCACCAGTCCTTCCTACAGTCCATGGCCTGATTTTCTTCCTCTAGAGCACCTGGTTCTGCCTTCCAGGCCCAAGCCCAACCCTGCTGGGCCCAGGGTTCTCGCCTATCCCTGACAGAATCAGGCAGGAAGGAGAAGAGGGAGGTGCTACCTGGTCTCGATGTCTTCATCAGAGAAGTCCACCTCTTCCATGGGAAGAAAGAAGGGGCCCTCACACTGCCTGTCCACAGCAGCAGAAGGGCTGAGGTGCCCAGAGGTGGGCAGGGCATGGCTGGTCTGCACTCTGTTGAAGCTCTGCCTGGGGTGGGATTTGACAGGTGCTGTGTCCACAGCTGATTTTATCAAGGTTCAAGGCGATTCCTGGATGCCCCTCCACGTGGCCTGGGTGGGTCATGGGGCCCTGTCTCTGTTGCCTCCTCTCTCTGCAGCCAAAGACCCCCAACAAGCTATAGCAAGTGGCTCTGCCCCTTGTGGCCACTGCCAAATGTAAGAAGTCCTGGGGCAGCAAGATCACTGATGTGACGGTCTGTGCTGGGGCCACTTGGTGCTGTC